TCTTGGGCCGGCGTGAGGCGAAGCACAATGAGCGGCCGGGCCGGGCCCAGCGACGCGCCGGGCGCGGGGGGACGAGGGGAGGAGCGCGGCCTGCTCCCGCCTCCTCCTCCCTCCTCCTCCGCCTCCCGCCGCCGCCTGTCCTCAGCTGCCCTCCCCGGCCCGCTCAGCGCATCTGACAGGATGGGAGGGGGGCACATGTGAGACGCGCACGGACACGGGCGCGCACCTGAGGAGGAAGCGAGCGGGCCGCGCTGTCCCGTGGGCCTCGGGCCTTCCCTCCTGGCCCCGCCGGGCTGCGAGCCCCGGGGGGGGTACGCCTCCTCCCCTCCCCTCCCCTCCCCCGTGGTCCCAGCCCAAATCACCCGCATGAAGGCAGCGATTCAAAGGGGCTTGAACCACCACGAAGAGGCCATCAGGATGGGGAGTCGAGAGGATCCTTTTATGAAACCGACCTGATTGTTTTGGCAAAATAAAATACATAAATCCAAATCTTGTATGGCGACACGCGCCCTTCCTCAGGTGCCGGAGACAAGATGGGGGGGGAGTGGTCCTGGGTGGAAAGGAAACTCCACATTTCATGGCAGACGTGGGGGAGACTCCTTGGGGCAGGTCTGGAGCCTCCTGCAAGGAAGGATTGAGAGGGGCTTGAAGGGCAAGGATTAGCGCAGGCAGAGAGACAGCTTGCAGGGAGCAGAGATTTATATATATGATATGGATCTGAGGCCAAATGAGCCAACACTAATTCCAAATCCAAGAGGCCCTTACTACTGGCAAACATCGGGTATCCTATGTGCAGGCCCGAGCGCAGAGGCTGGGGATTTGGATGCCCCCGAGTTTTGCTTGCCCTCAGCCGTACAGCCCTAGGCATCGGCGGCGTGTAGGGGGTGCACGACGTGACAGTGCACCCCTTGCGAAAAGGTGCCGACAGCACCACCACCTGCAGGAGCTTGCTGTGCCCCGCCAGCTGCCGGGGCCAAGTGGCGTTCGTGGCCCTCGGAGCCAGCCAGGCAGAAGACTCCCATTTCTATAAAC